AGGTCAGGCTCGGGCGCAGAAGGGGGCTCGGAAGTCTTTGGTTCAGGGCACGAGGCTTCAGCTTTCCATGGAGTGGCGTTGCTTACATGGCTTCGTGTTGGCGGACCGGAGATGACAGAACTCCCGACTCCTATCCGGGCCAACATGTGAGGGCTGCCATTGACACTCAAATCAAACAGCCGTCGCCTCTGTTCTCTTGTGAGCGACTCCGAAGCCTCTGTGCTTAGGGCTTTAGAGCCAGCGTCCGTCTTTTGAGTGGACAGATCGAGCATCAGAGAATGACAAAAAGCAGCCTGCCAAGACCTAGAAACCTTCCATCGCTCATGCTCCTGCTCTTTGAGCATGTCTTCGTCAAGGCTATGCGTCCAACATCCCAAGCTCACGCACTCAATCTATTTGTCCAACAGCTACAGCAGCAGCCGTGATGTCATACTACCAAATACTACCATAGCTGGTTCTCCCTCCAAGACAGAGGGAGGCAACAGGGAACTCAGGAGAAGGTGATCTCGGAGATTTTGGTTGGAGAAGCTAGAAGACAGGAAGAACCGACCCACCCAACCATAGCTCTCTCCGAAAAGTAGGGCGGTGCCTCATTCAAAAGGCATGGCTTCGTAAGCTACACCTCCGAAATCACCTTTCCTTACGATCACCTCCAGCTCCCGATGGCGTCTGCCTCTTCGTCGGCTTCCGTGGACCGGAGCACGCCACTTCGCAGTGAAACGGGCAACGCTTTGCACTCTTATATGGACCTTAAGGCATCAGGTATGCGGTTTTGGGGGCGGGGGGTGTGAACTTCGGCTCGAGATACGGTCTCGGGGCTCCTCGCAAGAGAGCTAGATGGGTGATGTGTGGTTAGCCGAACTTGCACAAGGATCCAAATGGTCACATGCGCACGGTGGTCGTGCGACTACACCAACCTGTTCTGAGCTAGTCAATCGCACCAGTGCATTGGCACAGCAGCACATTACGAGAGCAGCTATGCCTGTTTGCTGACGCTTCGCAACTCAACTGCTTGAGAAGTAGAAACTTCGTGGCAGATGTTGTGCTGATGTGCACGGGCCTTCTCGCCATTTCTGCATGCTTGATGCACGCAAGAAGCACCCGGTCTCAAAGCATGCATCGTCACTATTCAGGCCGCTCTTGGCCAGTGCAAACTCACACAATGCGCTCAAGGTCGGTGGCATAACCTCAGGCCACGATAGAAGTGCTGCGCACATCTCAAAGAAGCTCGGCCTCACACCCACGATCTGGAAAGACTTTGGAAAGGCCAACATGGCATCACACTCTGCAAAGGAGCTTTCGCACATCTAGTTTATATTGCGTGTGGACTGAGGACTTGGATGCTGACTCCCAAGCACCGTGGGAATTCAACAGAAGGTTACGAGCTGAGTGTCACACCGATTGTGTTGACCATGAGGTCCACTGCTGGCAGCTCTAGCCTCGACCAGAACTTCAGCGTAAGGGTTGAAGGCTTTTAAGGTTTTGGTTCATGAGTTTAGTGCTCGGACGTTGGGAGAAGTGGATAAAGGGTGAACTGCTGAATTTGCGACGGTGCTATAGGGTCTTAAGGTAATGTCAAACTGCTGCAAAAGCTATAGACCGGTGAAAAGACAGGCATCCAGCTAGCGTTGAAGGATGAGCTCCACATGCAAAGCTGCCACAAATGCAGTCTGTTTGCTCAGGCTCGGAAGTTAGGACAAAGACCCGACATCGCTGATTCTGATGCCGGCTGCCTTATTCATCCATTCTGATGATATGTCGCCTTGCCGTGGTCACTATCACTAGATACATGTTTGCATCCTTTTTATTTTGCTGCAGCAATTACGATGACAATGGCGATGTTGCTGGCAAATGGGGATGAGAAAGAAGATGCTCGCGACGACGCTGATGTAGAAGGAGGCGGAGGCGGAGGTTGGAGGAGGTGGGGGAGGACGAAAACAATGACAACGACGGCGACCAATCGGACGACGACCAGAACGAGTACACAGGATTACACAGGATTCTGCTGGTGCTGATGCCGGCCGATGATGCTGCCGCTGTCGCTGGTGACGATGATAACGACAATGATGATGACGACTGTTCTGATCATCGTGATGACCATGGCTACAACGGCTGGTGCCCCACACCACCGCAGCCGAGGATGCAGACGGGGTTCCAAAGCCATGCGTTGGTAACTGGTAGCTTTCGACATTGATGAAGTGCTTACATGAACTCAATTCGAATTCCTACAGTCTGACAAAATGCGAGCTCACAAACTTAGAAGGAATGCATGGCTGTAAGGCTTCGCGGACGAGATTTTTTGGAGCACGGGAGGCTCCCAAAGCCCTCAATTGCACTCAAGACTTTCCATCGCTAAGCTTCTAAATCCCAAGCCCCACAGCTGCGTGCTCCCAGCAGGAACTCCAAGCCCCACAAACCCCGGATCGCGGACCTTTTCTGCTCGGACCGGATGAAATGGAGGCGGCCATCTCTCACCTTCCCACTTTGAACACCCTTGGAAAGGTTTTAGAGTGCAGTTTCAGTGCTTAGGACATGCGTTCAAGAGACGCCCAATGCACATTGAAACCCAAAAGTTGAAGGTGGAGAGTACACGAAGAAGGCAGTCTGCCTCCCAAGCCCAGACCCTGGTTGGCAAACACGCGAAACGAAATGACTAGCAGCAAGCGGCTAACAGCATGGTGCTCTGAAGGAGGGAGGCGTGCTTTCTTTTGCTTTGGGTTCGGTGCAGATTCTTTGGACCGGCCTCCCACTTCACGAGGCCCACTGGCGCCCTTCGCGTCAGCGAGGGAGTCAGGTCGCCCATCGGATCGTCCGACTCCTCACTGGGCTTTCGTGACAAGTCACCACGGTGCCGCAGTTGTTAAGCTGTTTGCAAGACATGAGACCGGGGGTCGAGCCTTCACTGCACCTCCCTCCTACGCTTCACCGCTTCAAGGACCCAAAGATTACTGTGCAAAGCACTCGTGTGGGGCGGCTTTCCACTAAGGCCTTGTTCTGCGTTCATATGCCTTACAACAACCCCCAGGCGTCCTCTCGGGCCTTGCGCTCGTTCTCTTTCACTGCGAATTCCTGCAACGCAGGCACCTCAGTGGCAAGGAAAGCGGATAGATCACAAGCTGTACGTAGGATGACATGACATTGCAGCTTACATTGGGGCGTGTTCGTGGTCAGGGCTCGGCAAGCTGTAACCTAGCACCAGGAGGATGGCGGCTTCATGCTGAACACAAGAGCCGCTTCATACCCGGCTCTGTTGCTATGGCACTGTTGGATGGCCAGGCCTTGATCTGCAAAACGCAGCCGTTAATCCAGCGCACTGGGGCAGTAACCGTGGAATGCCAATGTTGCCGGGGGGATGGCGGCAGCGTGCTGCACGCACGAACCGCTTCATTGAACACCGGGCACCGTTCATCTGGCAATGTTGGATGGCCGTGACCCGATGAACGAGACATGGCCGTTAAATCAGTGCCTTGACGGCGACGGTCATGGTGGCAGTGGCGGTGGTCGCTTTGTTCGTTCAGGTGTTGCCAGGCAGGATGGCGCCTGCATGCTTTACGCACGAGCCGCTTCATCTATACCGGGCTCGGATATGGCACTGTTGGATGGCCATGCCTTCATGGACAAGACACGGCCGTTAATCAGCGCACTCGGGTAGTAACCAGATCGTGAGGAATGCCAATGTTGCCGGGAGGATGGCGGCAGCATGCTGCACGCACGAACCGCTTCATTGAAGACCGGGCACCATTCATCTGGCACTGTTGGATGGCCGTGACCCGATGAGCGAGACACGGCCGTTAAAACAGTGCCCTTGATGGTGACGGTCATGGTGGCGGCGGTGGGCCGGTGGCGGTGGCGGGGATGGAAAGGGGGCGGGTGGGGCGGGTGGCAGTGTCGAGGGTCGATGGAGGAGGTGATGGCGGTGCCGTGTGGCTGGGACGGTGGCGGGGACGACGGTCATGGTAACGGTCATCGTCATGGGATGGTGATGATGATGGAGCCGAGTGCTGATTCTTGTCGTTGGGGGGTGTTGCCATGTTTCCAGGCAGGATGGATGGCCATGCCTTCATGGACAAGGCGCGGCCGTTAGTCAGCGCAGGGAGGAGAGAGAGAGAGAGAGAGAGAGAGATAGACAGAGAGAGGCAGAGAGAGGCACAGATAGAGACAGAGAGAGAGAGAGAGAGACAGAGAGAGAGAGAGAGACATAGAGAGAGACAGAGAGAGAGACAGAGAGAGACAGAAAGAGACGGAAAGAGACAGAGAGAGTCAGAGAGAGTCAGAGAGGAGAGAGTGAGAGAGAGAAGCGAGCGAGCGAGCGGGCGAGGGAGACAGACAGAGACAAAGAGGGAGCGAGCGAGCAGTAAACCCTCAATGCGAGGCCTCGAGCCGTAAACCTTGGACCTGGAGACACACAACCTCAGAAACCTCCAAAAGCAAACATCCAAAATCTCAACTCCCTAACCCAAGAAGACCTCGCGTTCCGGAGCGTGGATTGGGGAACCTACATCTGCTAGGATGAGCATCTGCGCCGCCTCCGGAAGCTAGGGGCCGTGTGGCTTCAGGAGTTGCAAGGTCTTTACGGACTTCGGCTTTCAAGCAAACGGTTCTGTGGGTTCCAGGGCTGTCGGCCCAGTACTTTGAGATTTGGTGCTTGTGGGGTTGGACATGGTAGGGCCAAGTAAGCACAGACTCAACGGTGGACGGAGCAAGTTTGTCTGTGCAGGGCTCACGGAGTTTTGGCACGAGGGTTTGTAGCATGCTATGGGAATATTTCTAGGAT